ACGAAATATGTTTTGTGACTTGTGCATGTAAAACAAATTTTAGGTTACAAAATCTGCCTAAATTTATCAAAGACTTGTAATCCGCAGAGTCATAAAAATTTCTAATATCTCTTAATACTATTACCAAAAATGTCTGAAAAATAAATTTCTCGTATTTTCAGTACACACTTCGAAAAATCACCCATATAATAATTACTGTATTATTAAATGATATTGGATAACAAAGAATATTAAATACTGAATTTATTAAAATATTTTTTAATTAATTATTATTTTTCTTGCTTTCAAAATAATGACTAATTGGTATTTAAACTAAAGTAGCGCATCCAAAAATTTATGCCCCAGGGTTCCGGCCGACAAAATTACGGCACTGTGAATTTCGTTGAAAAGTTTTATAGAGCCATTTCACTTATAAAACGAATTATCATGTTTCTCCATTATTTTGAGATTTTGTCGAAGGGGGTACGGAGGGGCACGTGGCTCTTTTCCCCAATATATTTGCCAAAATGTAAATTTTTCCGCAGTTGAATGCATAATTTAAAAAAATAAATAGCTGAACAAAATTAAATTAAATCCTATTTCTCACTTAGTTCAGTTTATTCTAATGTGTTCATCAAAGATAAAAGGTCACTTTTAAAAGGAGAAAGAGATTTTAAATTATTGACTTAATAATCGTCTGCTTCAAGAAGCTGTTTGGTTATTTTCGTTCTTCCTAAGTGCTGTTAAAAGCAGCTGTTTGAAAAAGCAGATGAATTTATAAGGGTAAAAAGGGTCGTTGATTATTGATCGTTGATAATTAAGACTTCTGTAATACACCCATTCTGAAATGTACTCGTCAATAAGTTTGGTCTTTCAAAACAAGATCGTTTGTTTCATTTAAAATTTGAATTTTAACACTAGTAAGAAAAAAAGATCTATTTAAAAATTGCTCTTTTTTCCATTTTTTTTTACAAAAAAAATGCATTTTTCTTATAGTAAGTGAAATATTTTAATTTTAAGATTTCAGAAAAATGATTTATTTAAATCGTATTATCTACTTCGATGCCTAGTAATGAAACATAATTTTATTTTACTTTATTCAAACGGTTCATATTTTTATATGCTTGGGAATTTATGCACTTTCGTTCTAGTGTAAATAATTGTGTTCACCACATATTGACTACAGTTTTAGTTGTTACTTTTATTTAAGTTTTAAGACATTTTTAGTACTTTTCTTTTAACGAACGTTGCATAAAAAATAGTTTTGTTCTAAAGGTTAAATAAATCTTCATTTAGATTGAATGCTTTTCATTTGATTTTGAAAATATGTTTGTTAAATGCTATCTCTTTAGCGTTTAATAGAAGTAAAATTGTCTTTGTAATTCCTTTAAAATCTCACTTTTTTTTTCTAATGTGAACTGAAATAACTCCCTCTGTTTCGTTTTTTACATACTTTATTCAAACGGTTTATAATATTATATGCTGGGGAATTTTAAGCATTTTGGTTTCAGTGCAAATAATTATGTTCACCTTATGTTCGCCTTATATTGGCTACAGTTTTAGAGCAGTAGTTTTTTTATTTTTTATTTTTTTAAAAACTAAATTTGTAGTAGGAAATAGTTTTGCTCTAAAAGTTACATAAACATACATTTAGATTAAATGTATATTGATTTTGTAAATGTGTTCTGAAATTTGGAAATGCTGTCATTTCTTTCGATTGAGTATAATAAATGTAATAATAATGGGCATATTACCTTCATTAAATGGAAAAAAAATTAGGATGTGATAAATATTTGCTTATTTATCATATTTTCTGATTCATTACTTAATTAATAATAAAATTTTAATACAAAATAGAAAATTTTCAAACTTTATATAGTTTCTTAAGTTTTTTTTCTCCATAAATTTACCATTGTAAAATAAAAATGTTATGGATATCAAGAGGCTACTTAATAATATCAGCTTTTTAAAAATATATATATGTATATAGAAGATTCTAAAAATAAATTGTCGCGCCCCTCCTTCCCCAAAAAGACCTTTTTCGACAAGCTACGCCTCTGATATTAAGCATCGTCTTTGTATGTCAAGATAAAAATATTCTCTTCAAAAAGATTAGTTCTATAAATGTATTGTATTACAATAACAAAAAATGTTGTCCGACTTTCTATCTTCCTTATTTCTGTTTCTTTTTCTTCATTTTCTTTGACTATTTAAAACAAATTAGTTAGATGATACTAAATTTTTATTAAAATTAGATTAAATCATGGCTTATTGCTATTCTCTTGGCATACAATATCTGGTGGCCAAGGTCATTTTACTCTAAATATTTTATTCCTAATTTTACTTATTAAATTTAATTATTTATTTTATATTTAACGTCAGCAGAACAACCGTCGATAGCTCAGTTGGCAGAGCGGTGGACTGTAGACGAGAATTTGTAGATATCCATAGGTCGCTGGTTCGACTCCGGCTCGACGGAAATTTTTTTATTTACTTTTGCCGATTAATTTGTATCGGTGTTCAAGTAGTCGATTGTCATACAACAGCGGTTTAGTTATTATTAAAAATCTGAGAACGAGCAATAATCTCTACTCTGTCGAATCAGCGGAAACTAGATTTTCCATTTAAAATTCTTATCTTTTCATTTTCACATCATTTAAGTATTAAAAAAGGAGAAGGGTTATTTTAAATTTAATGATTATGATTTTAGCACTAATGACAACTAAGTAGGATCGCTTATACTAAAAAAAGTCGATTAAATATTTTTAAAGAATATCTTTAAGTGAAATGGTATATAACAAAAATGGTTTAATTTTTAATCAGTTTAAAATTAACAAAAACTAACTTTATGCTTTAAGGTTTTTTTTTTAGATAAGTTTCATGAGTTAAATTATAAATTGATTTCCTCGGAACTGATAAAAATGTTCTTTTACTGTTTATCTGATATAAGTTACAAGATGGCGCCATATTATTCTACAGTTGCTTTGTTTATTCGCAAAGCTCATGCAATTTTTGTTTATTACAAAACATTGAGAAAGAATAAAACGAAATTAAATGTTTCTCATTTAAAAAGTAAACTCGTTTACTTCCAATTTTGCAGATATATTAGTAGCTTTTAAAGTTTTAAACCGTTTTAATTTAAGAATGCAAGTTAAGATATTTTAGTCTTAAAAATAATAAATAGATGGCGCCCTATGTTTAAAATTATTGTTTTCCAAGTTTATTAAAATAAGGAAAATTTTAATCACCCAGTGTAACTTATAGATTCGTAAATCTTATAATAAATTTAACACGAAGTAAACAAGTGGGTGGTGGTTCAAATAAAAGGTACATTTCACTTCCCTCGATAATACTTTGGAAACAAGATCAATTTTTTTTTTTTTTTAATAATTGAAACTCTTCTGAAGATAATGCTCAACTCAGAACACAGCATTCATATAATTAAAAGATGCGTTTTTTAACACAATATTTTTCATATTGTTAGAAATGTTGCAGCCACCAATAACGCGAATATTTTAAATTATTTCCTGAAAACTTTTATCCTCTCTTTCAAATTTCTGAAGTAACTATATTTTAACTAAATTTGTAAAAATATTTTTGAGAAAGCAATAAAAATTTTTAAAAAAAAGTTGTTTCCTTTAAATATTCATCTTTTCGTTAAAATTGAATTTGTTTCTCAGATAAAAAAGGTTGCAAACTAAATAAAATTCGATATCTTTATTTTGGCCATTGCCCAGAGATATGGAATATCCAAGATACCGATTTCCAGTTACGTTTATCGGTACTACCGTTAGTAAATAATAAACTACATTTTCACCCTTTCATTTTCATTTAGTGTTTATTTTAATATGGAATATTATTGCGAGTTCATGCTCATAGAATCGTCACAACGAGTTATTTAATTTATCTTTTTTTATTAATATCCTCATTATTACTGTTGCCAATTAAAATTTCTGAAATACATAGATTTCTTCGAAATCATCACTATTTTCAGCAACAACATGGTGTAGTCAGGAGGTCTAATTATCACAACCTTTTATCAAACTTATTAACTTTTTCTTCTTCTTTTTCTTTCTCTCTTTTTCTTTTTTTTATTTCGGAAAGAAAAATCTTGTTTAGTAATCAAAATGCAGCGAACTGCACATTTTATCGTTCTCCATTTTTTTAAATTGATTTTTTTTATTTTTTAGACATCCGCCAAAACTACAATCCTATTTTTCTTTTGTCTTATTCGCGTTCATCGTATTTGTGAGCTTATGTTTGAGTCATTTGTTTTATTTGTGTGTTGTTGTTTTCTTTTTTTCATAATTCCTTTGAATTACTTTATTGCAAATGAATACATACTTAACAAATATCCACATTTTCTTTCTTTCTTACAAATATTGCAAACAAGTATATATATACAGTAGAGCACCGATTATCAGAAAACCGATTTACTAAATTGTACAATCATCCGGACCGTTTAAGGACAATGTTCACACCTTCTTCTTCATCTTCTACGAAAAAAAGAGAATAATAATACATAAATAAACAAATACTAAATAAATAAAATAAAATTTTAAAAAAATTGTTTCATCATTTCAAGAATATCTGAAAAAGATCGAAAAATGGCATCTTTTGTTACTCGGTAACCTTGAACAGAAATGCACGTTTTTTCCGGCCAGTTTCAGTGTGAGTGGCTGGTAGTTTCTTATAAAATTTTTAAAAAATAAAGATTTATTACGCCATTTGTAATATACTAGAATATAATAAGTACTACTACAATTGCCAATCCCAAGCCTTGGAAAAGCATGAAGGGAATTTTAACATTCTCTTAGCTGTTTTTTTTTAATTTTTTTATTTTATTTTTAAGTTGGCCAATTATTCAGATTTTTTTGATTGTCCAAATCGGCTCTGATCCCGATTGATCCGGATAATCGGAGATCTACTGCATATTTTTCCTCTTCTTACAAATATTGTAAAAGTTGATTTGTTTTAAACAGCTGCAAAAATGAATAGAGATAAAAAGAAAAGAAATACAATTGATGTTTGAACACAAGTTTATTTTCAAGATGTTTATACAAAAGAAATGAATGATGTTGAATGGGGACTAGGTGGAATCTTAGCACACATCCCCTTTAAGCTCCAGATGTTTGCCTTTGACTATCTAAATAGAAAACGAAGACAATTAATATTTTTTTTTCGAACAGCATGTTTATTCATTTGGAAAAAATACATTAATTATTAAAAACTATTATTTAACTTATATTAATTATCTTTTATAAAATGTTGTTTTTGTCGAAGGCAAGGGGTGCCATTGTTCTGGTTTTCCAGTGGCGCCATCTGAGGCCAAAAATTCGACTCTGCCACATCCTTACGTCACATTCGTTTGTAGGGCGGGCCCATTTATAGATCCACACTAATCCACAGATCGTAATCTAAACCAGAGAACAATCGATCTCCAAATCAATACCCTCACAGGTATTATTTGTTATGGGAACATGGAGGACTCTATGACTCAAACGATTTCACGCGCACCAGTCATAATTTACTACGGCCGGATGGATTTGACCTCTCGTTCTCCCGAACGTGAATCTAGCGTCCTGCCAACAAGGCTATTTTGGCCCCATCTTTCTTCAAATAGTATATAAGAATAAAAGTATATTTTAATGATAATATACTATGAAGATGCGTAGATAAATATCACGAAAGTTTTACTCAGAAGAAAATAAACAAAATTGTATTTATAGTTGATTTATGCAACGTTTATAGTTAATCTGTTATTTCTTCTGTATGCTTAACTTTTGTAGGCAAATTTCCCTTAACATTAAAGAATTCTATGAATATTTGGTTCCAAATTTCGCTCAACTTAAAATTACTCAGAGGAAATTATTTTAAATCCGAAATGCAGTTTTGATAAGTGGTATTTATTTAAAAGATACTTTATAAATGTAATGAAAATAATTTCATTCTTCTTCTTCCTATTTATTATTATTATTATTATTATTTTTTTTTTGAGTAATCGATTTTNCTCAGAGGTATTATTTGTTATGGGAACATGGAGGACTCTATGACTCAAACGATTTCACGCGCACCAGTCATAATTTACTACGGCCGGATGGATTTGACCTCTCGTTCTCCCGAACGTGAATCTAGCGTCCTGCCAACAAGGCTATTTTGGCCCCATCTTTCTTCAAATAGTATATAAGAATAAAAGTATATTTTAATGATAATATGCTATGATGATGCGTAGATAAATATCACGAAAGTTTTACTCAGAAGAAAATAAACAAAACTGTATTTATAGTTGATTTATGGAACGTTTAGAATTAATCTGTTATTTCTTCTATATGCTTAACTTTTGTAGGCAAATTTCCCTTAACATTAAAGAACTCTTTGAATATTTGGTTCCAAATTTCGCTCAACTTGAAATTTACTCGGAAGAAATTATTTAAATTTGAAATACAGTTTTAGTAAGAGGTATTTATTTAAAAAATACTTTTTAAATGTAATAAAAATAATTTCATTCTTCTTCTTTTTTNTTTTTTTTTTTTTTTTTTTTTTTTTTTTTTTTTTTTTTTTTTTTGAGTAATCGATTTTAAAAACGATTCATTTTTAAAAATCTTTTTATCGTATTTAATTTCCTACATTTTTTCGGTGTATAAAATTTTGCTTTTTAAAGCAATTTTTGAAATATGCATACATAACAGAATATCCAATTTTTAAAATAAGTGAATTTTGCAAGATAATATTCACGTAGTTCTATTAAAAGACACAGAATTATGTAGGAAAGTAACTTCAAATGTAAAACCAAATGGAATTTTTTTTATTATTTTCTAAAAATGTTGTATAAAAAGTAAAAAAAAAATAAAAAAAATCCTACAGAAGATCTACTCCAAACTAATTTTCATTATAGTTTACTAATTTATTTACCTTTGCTCTTTGTTTAACAGAGCTATATGCTTTTTTTTTTAAATTTTACCCCGAACTATTCTAAATTATTTTACTATTTTTCCTGGATACTCACAGATAGTATAATCAGGAACTATTTACTGTTATTTTTAACAATGAGTTTGAGTTCTGATTGCAAATTTTAAAAAAAAATCTGCACTATATTTCAAATGATAAGTGCACTATATTTCAAATGATGATAGTGTTAGTTTTCACTCCAAAATAAAGAAAAGGTAAAAAAAAAAAGTTTCCCTAATTCTGGGATAAATGACTTACCATGTACCATGATTTATTTTAATGATGATGGTATCCTTTGTATGCCATTGGGTGTGAATAATATCCATGACCATGTCCATAACTGACTGGTTTGTAAGCATAAGCGTGTCCTCCAAGACCATAGGCTGGTTTACTGTGGTAAACAACAGGTTCCTGATAAAAATAGAAGCATGAAAAATTAATTTCCTGAAGAGTTATTTAAATTATTTTATCCATATTACAGTAAGTATTGGTATTTAAATATATTATTATATAGTAGCAATATAGATTGTAAAATGTTTTAATGAAAGATGTCAGGAAGATGAATAACGGTTTAAAAAATGAAAAAAATGAACGGTTTTCTGGGTTCTGTTCATTGAAGCAGCAATTTATTGTAATGTAGCTTCAAAACTAGTCGTAAAGCTAGCTTCACTAACAGATAGAAGCTACTGGTTGAAAAACCATCAAACACTGTTTTCTGCAGAATCTTAGGCTATTTCAACAGAAAAATTTGCTCTAGTCGCTTGTTAAATTATCCTTTAGACTTGCGCTGAGTTGTGAGAAGAATGGTGATTTTTTTTAATCGATTAATCAAATCCTGTTATCAGCCTACATCAGTTAAGGTGATTTGTAACTAATTTCCAAGTTTGATACGAACTTATGAATAGTTTCTTAAGCAGAACGCAGCAAACCGTATATTTCTATCTCCCTTCCATGTATTTTAATATATTTTTTAAATCATCCATCATTTTCAGGGCAATCTATAAGTTTTCTTACCGTTATTGGGCCTTAAGAGCCATTCTCAGATAATGCGGTTTACTCACTTTCGATAGACGTAAAGGGAAATCGAGAACGTGATTGGTGAAACTTTCGCGGGAAAATATTTTTCACCAATCCGGTTCTTACTTTCCCTCACCGGTGATCGGAAGTGCGTGAAACACATTCAAAGAGAACGGCCCTTTATTTCTTTATACTACAAGCACAAAATTACTGAAATCGACTTCGGTTGCCAGCGCTCTAAAAAGCATTTTGTATTCCGTGTGATACATCCTGTGTGCTCTGTCTGATACATCCTGCGCGTAGAGTGTCCAATTCCGTGCGCTGTGTGACAAAATCTAAGCTGTTTTAAGACAATGTTGAACAAAGGTAGTTGAAAGAATCGAAAAATTCTTGATTTATACTTACAATATGATGGGCCACAGGTTTAACGTAGACTGGAGCAATAGGTTTGGCAATTATTTTTGGTGCATAGACTATAGGTTTAGGAGCATAGACTTTAGGGGCATAGACGACAGGTCTGTATACGGGTTTGCTGTAAGTCAGGCCATGTCCATAAGAAGCATATTTCACTGGTGCATATCCGTAGTGAGCTCCACCTAAATGTGTCTTGTATCCAGTTCTGTAATAACTAGCACGGTGACCATAGCCAGCCATCGTTGCTGAACAGCACATGAGAGCCAAAAGGACAACCTGTAAAATAATGTTGCATTTAGGAGAGCAATTGAAGAAGTAATGATGTGTAAGGAAATAAGCATCCAATGCAATCGATAATATTCGAAAACTACATGCTGTAATAACCGAAGAGCCCTGTAAGACTAGGTCAAATTTAGGTCATTATAGTACATAATTAAATAACATCTCAATGTATCATAAAAGTAAATAAAATAGTAACTTAATTATTGTATAGTAGAACCACAACGTTAGCTTTTTAACACTAGAAAGACTGAAACTTAGTACATGCCTATATTGTGAAAGAATAACTAATGTGTAAAGAAATTAGTTTAAAATCAATTTTTAATATTTTTTTTACATTATTTACAGTTATATAACAAGTTGTTAGTAAATATTACCAATAAAAAAAATTATATGTTGTACAAAAAGTCACAAATTTCTAAGAAATTGTGTCATTATATACATCATTGTTTTCCTAATTGAAACTAAAAAGCAGTCAAAATGACTTCCTTAGGGAATCTAGTCTTGAAGGTCTATTTGTTTTGAGGGTTATTGCTTGTTGTTTAAGGGTCTATAAGTTCCATTTAATGGGTTATTCCTCATGAAGTCTAATGAAACAGAAATGAAAATAAGCAAGAATGAGAAATTACTAAAAATGACCATAATTAGTTAAAAATGTCGAAGAACTATTGCAAAAAGGTCGTAAGAGAAAATTAAATAATTTAGGTTTGTTCGAGGAATATGGGATCAAAAACAAAAATGATGTTAAAGAAATGGACTCCGATAACTTCGAGTAAAAAAACTTTCGGACTATGAATGAAACCAATAAATTGATAAAAAGTTATAACTAAATTTCAGAAAACTATTTTTTCTGACTTAAGATTTAAAATCAAAGTCAAAACTTAAAGCAGTAATATTAAAAAATGTTATTATTAATTTTAATTAACTTTATCCTTTGTAAAATAGGATTTTTTTATTGTTTATTTCATTATAATATGTTAAGAAATTGAAAGAGGCAGCTCTTTTTTATAATTGTTGAACTCTTTTATTATTATCATTTTCTTAACTAGTTGTAGTAATGCGTTTTTTGTAATATTCGCTATAGTTTTTTCTTTTTTTTAATTATTAAATCTAACAAAAACGAAGTTACATTCACAAAAGCATTGCCAAGTCTGGGAGTAAGATATTAAATTATAACTAAATTCGAGAAGAACAATAAGGGGAAAAAATTAACATTTTCTTAACCATGAATACGACGGAAAAATTTTTAAAGCAATAATTGAAAAATAAGAAATCCAAATAAAATCTGCAACAAAAAATATGAAAACTTCAAATGCCTCCATGCAAAGTCTATTACAGCTGAACAAGGAATAAAATATTTTGTCTAGGACTTTTGAAGCAAAATACTTAATCTAAAAAAGCGTGTAAGTGATTAGGACTGAACAAAAATAATTAAATTTACTACTAAAATTTTAATAGAGAGAATATAATCAAAATATGATTGTAATGATCTTGGCAAACAAGGTAATGATATTCCGTAAATTTAAATTAAAAAAAAAAAATGTGTCTTCAATAAATTTAGTAGGGTTCGTATAGTCTTTATAAAAATCAAAAATTACTTTTAGTATTGCAAAATAGCAAAAAAATTAATTTTTAATTAAATTAACTTTAAAATCAAAAATTCAAAATCTCATTAGTAACTAGAAACATTTATTTAAAAATATTAAGCGTAATTGGTGTTTACGAACTTATGATATATGTCTTTTTTCATTTACTGAGTTTACTAAGTATTTTAAAAACAGTACGGACCCTGAAATTTAGTTTTTAATACGATATTTACACAGAAAAAAAGAACTAAAATATTCAATAAAAAATTTTGTAAAATTTTCAAACAACTCGGTGTTTGCAAAACTTTTTTAAATGATAAAAAAAGAAGAAAAGAAAATTAAAAAGAAAGGAAAAAGAAAAAGGAAAATTAGGAAATTTTTACAGAAACATTTAAGCAGAAAATAAAAATATATATCTATACGGTAATATAAATTAACAAGTATTTGCAAAATGTCTCATGCACAAATTTACATGACAATTAAAAAAAGAATAAAATACTTTAACAAGAAATTTATAAGGCAAAATACTCAAACATAAAATTAGCTATAAATGAGATTGGCAATTTAATTTACTATAAGATTTTTGTTAGGAAAACCATTACAAAATAAAGTTAGAAATGAAAATTGGAAAGTTGTGCTTCAAGTGAAAAACAAAAATATATTAAGAAATATAACATATTAATAAATATTTAAAAAAATTTCACAATTTTATCTAATTAATAAATTTTAGTGAAATAGTTAGTTTATGATAATAAAAAATATAGTTTTTTATATATATAAGATTTATAAAACGAAATGTTCAATATTAGAAAAAACATAAGAGCCTATGAATGAGCTGTGGCAATTTAATTCAAAACTTACCACTAAGGTGTTCATGTTTAATTTGATGTTCTTTAGGTGGTGGGACTAAAAAAGATTTTGATAAATTTTACCAAATTGAAAGGCTTTATATAGTTAGATTTAGGTCAATGCAATCCGGTTTTTGTGTTAAAATTTACAAGACGGACTATGTATAATAATTAAACCCTGAGGTACTTCTAAGCCTAATCACGGTATTCCCCCGCCACCTTTTTTTTTGTTGTTTTACTGTTCGAAAATATAATCTTAAAATGATGTTTTTTCGCTGATCTTCAAGCTGATTAATAAAAGAAAACAATAATAAAAAGAAATAAGCAATCCTATCCTCAAAGAGACCTTGAAGATTGAAAGTTCCTCGTGTAAAAAAAAGAAAATGGCTACAACTTAACTGAAGAAAAGAACATTTCAAGGCCATAGGTGAATAGATATTAGGAAAAAGATTTTAAAAAAGGTGTGACGATGATAGTGGACAGTTATGGAACAAAGAATTCTGTTGCACTTGGGTACCTTCAGGCTCAAAAAGAAGAGAGAGAGAGAGAAAAAAAGAAAAATACTTGATGTTTGTTCTTTATTGATGGCAAACGATATTTGTTGTTATTGCAAGTTACAATTATAGGGTTGATGGTAGTTATAAAACATTCACCCGAGCAAAATGTAATTCAACGGGTAATCAACTAGGTATGAATCTCTTTTTACCTTGAAATAAACATTGTAATTTTGACTAGAGGGAATTTGCAGAGGTGAAATCTGGTAGTTGGAATATAAATTATTTTTGACTTCTTATTAAGAAGAAGCAACTGTCAGAAGAAAAAAAATTATGTTTAGAGTTTATGTAGTATTTAGTCTTATTAATTAATAATAATTTATTACTATTAATTATTAAAATCATTTTTTTTTTCAAGTTTAATACAAGTAAAGATTTTTCATGAGTTTAATGTCAAGAATTTTTTGACGGTACTGTGTGGCGATAATTAAATTATGGCACGGTAATCTGACAAATTAATTCGTCAAAGAAAATCTACAGCAATTGTATCAATACTAATTAATAATAATTATGTGACAAATTATTGTTTCGGAATATTTTTCTTTCATTTCATTTATTAAAATGCCTTTTACGAAGCTTAGTTACCAAATTTTAATTTTTAAGGTTTTAAATATTTTTATAATTTTTATTTTGTTATGGTATTTTGTTGTTATGGTTTTATTAAGAGTTCTTAAAATTTGTTCAAAGATACTATTCCTTCGGTAATGATCGAAAAATTATAAAAACATTATAAAAATATTTAAAACCTTAAAAATTAAAATATGGTGAGTAAGCTGAATGAAAGATATTTTAATAATAAAATGATATTAATTAAAAAATATTAATTAGTGATTCAATAAGTTGAGATGTAGTATAAATTACAAAATTAAAGAAGACCTTAAAAACTTATTTTTTTATTTTTGAAAATAAAAACCTGATTTTTAAGAGCTGCCAATACGTTTGCAAAATATACATCATAAAAATTATGAAAAATGAAGGTGAGTTTATCAAGTGTACATAAAAGTGTTTCAATTACTAAAAATTTTTTTTAAATAAATAAATTTTGGTTACCAAAAAGATTTAGAACAATTGTTACAGGTATTGCTTCTAAAAAAGATTGAGAAAATTATTTTCTCAAAGTCCGGCAAAAGGAGAAAAAAATAAATCTTTTACACTAGTGTATTTTTGTCATGGTAAAATTTTATTCATTTGAAATGAATACTTAGACATTTCACTACATTACCTATCCTCAAACAAAAACTTATGCTTGCGATTTCTTGTTATTATTGCTGTTGACTTATTTCACATGGTCTAGCCTTAAGCTAGACAAAGTGCAGAAGTATAAAAATCTTCAAAAAATCAAATGCAAGATGAGGACTAGACGAATTCTTGTGTAACCAATTAGTACATTAAAATCAACGCAAAAATCCTCGAAACCCCAGACATAAAAAAAAATCTGCTCAGTTGCAAAGTCTTAACATGGTTTTGCGAAGCTGTTTCTCTAAGGAAAATATAAAAAGCCACAGTTTAATTGCCTTACACTTTTATCAAAGCTATAATTTTAAAACCATTCACCATTTTAATCATGCCGTCAGAATTATCAGGGCTTTAAAACAGACAAGGAACTAAATTACTTTAAAAGTTATTAAACGTTTTATAAAAATCGCCGAATCGTCAATATTTTCCTACCTCGATGAAAATTATACAAAATAACTGCCTAATTCTCAGTTTTTGCAAATTTGCATGGGCTCATATAATGCAGCATTGGAGTAAGTTTTTAAATATTAAAAAATTAGTTTATAAGCACTTTTCATTCTTCTAAAACTACGTATTTACTCTACTTTGACGTTTTCCGCCATTTGCTGAATAAGTACAGAGAGCGATGGTTACAGACAGGCTAAATTTGGCCTAACAGTCATAAGTAACTATTGCAAACTCACAGCAATTACAAAAATAGCATATAATTTGCAAAAGAGCATTATTTCATATGGCGACGGAGACTTCGAAAACATAATTAAGTAACCTCCTCTTAGCAAGTGGTAAAAAATTACTCGATCTGGGATATAGGGTTTGGAGGAAAGAGAGAAGGGATTGCAAGGATGAAAGAGCTTAAGTAGAGCAATCTACAGATAATCTGAACACTGTTCCCGATGTTTGTTTTTTCTATGACGGTAGGTTTAAAAATTATGTTTTTTTTTTTTTTACGAAAGAAAAGTATAATGTGTTATTTATTCTAAATTATGCATCTGAAATTTTTATTGAGGCAAGTAAATTATTGTTTCATATGTAACTTTTATGATGAATCGACTGAAACTTAGCATGAGTCAATTGGATTAATAATAGAAAAGTTTCAAAGGATATTATGTATAAAAAGTATTATTTTTGACTTGCTTATTTATACTTTTCTTCTAAACTATTTCCTTTATTCCTTGTTATTTTGTTACATTCGGATCAGCATAAAAAATACACAAGAAATATAACTTCACTTGTCGATATAGCTATGAAATAGCAATGTAAAAAATGTAAGTAAGAATAAGTGAAAAATGGTAAATATTTTTTTAAATATAAATACCCTTGGATTCAATTCAACATACAAAAAATGCACGTGCAACGTCACATGTTTATTCATTTTGTTCGTCACATGTAATTCAATTCACAACCAATTCATCCGGTTTGATAACAATGTCTGATGAGTAAGAGGTACTAGTTAAACATTGTATTTTTTGCATTTAAAACTGTAATATCTTTTTAAATGAACTTTAATTTGATTTCCTTGATCTGAGCTTAAAAAAATATGTCTCAAATAAAAGCCTCATTTGAATTTAAGATATTTTGTTTAGATAACATTTAAGTCTCTTCCCCCTTCCCATCTTCCCGTCAACACTGGACGCACTCGGCTGTGAAATTCACTAAGAGGAGGTTACTTAGCACTTTTTCCTTAGGTAAAGCTTTTTTTTTTATGCCAGACTGTAGCATTATTTTAGCTGAACAAAATATTACGTAAAACTTTTTTAGTTTAAAATTACGAATTAAATTAACCTTTTTTGCTGTCTCAAAACCGTGCATAATGTTCTATGAGAACTCGAATGTATAATCCTCAAAAATGAAACATTAGTCACATCTTTTTGGAAGAAAAAAAAACATCCTTTCTTATAATTTTCCAAACATTATGTGATATTTAGACATAAATGATAATTAGTTTTTTTCCCTGACAAAAAAGTGTTACATCTTTAAAATAGGTCCTTTTTAGCTCCATTATCGAATTATGGCTAATATATATAATAATATATATAATAATATATATAATTTTATATAATAATTATAAATAATAAGGCTTTCAGAATAATTCACCGTGGTTTCTGTAACATTGAATAAAATAATTATGGTTTTATAAATATTGAAATATTTATGATCTTATATAGAAATCTTACAGCTAACAAGTTTAGTTATTTAAATTTGGTGCTAACATTCCCCACCCCCTCTTCTAATTAGGTCCTTTGTACTTTATATCGAATTTTTTCTAACCAGATAAACAAAATTAACGTTGAATGATTCTATAGTTGATTGTATCGCACATGTATTTTATTTTTATATTTCCTACACACATCAGAATAATAATTTTTTGCTTTTTCTAAGCACAAAGACTAGTACATTATTGCTCGTGTCATCGGAATTAATATTTTAAAGATATATTTACACTCTGTAAGAAAAATCCATAAAAAAATAATAAATATTGAATAATATGTTGCTTTTTTTACGTAAACAAATTAACCCTTGACCTCCATCATTGCTTTCGTTTCTTCTTTCTTAGAAAATTCATCACTGAATCAGACAGAGACCATCAACTCGACAAACAAATCTTCCAACTGTTTGTTTTCTTTTTCAATTAAACAATCTTTGTCCCTTGACCTCTATTCCTGGACAGACGGAGAGCCCTTTGATATCTCTGCGACCCCAAAGTACCACTTTCGCATTTAACCGAGTCCCATTAATATTCTTCAAGTGCCGACGAAGAGAAGAAGATGCAAATCCTCAGAGAAGAAGAAGATGATATTGGGGCCCCGTCAATCATCATTTAGAATGCGCCATTTTGGGGAGGAGTTCCAGCAATTGAGCCAGATTCCCAACTTAATTGTGCTTTCAGATGAAAACGGTGGAGTTGATGATGTGTTTTTTCCTTCCACGAAAACAAAGCTGGGATTAACTGACTAACTAGTCTGGGTGTCAACTGTCTTCCAGCCTCTGTCCAGTACTAAGCCAAGGTTAAATCGGACAGTTAATTAGCATTTTAAGTGGCTGAAATGGGTCATCTTGTTGCGAAGTTTGTTGTGGTACCTAACACAGCTTGAGCATAAATTACACCATAGTGGATTTTTAATGAAGTGTGGACGGATTTTCGATTGAGGCTCACGTAACTCCAAACTCAGGTAATTTCTGCTTTCCTTTTGAGTTAGAAATAATTCTTAGTTCACTAACTATAATGTTATTTTTCTTTTAAAAAAATTCAATTCAATTAATTAATTTTAAAATATTTGATGACTCAAAAAAGTAAAAATTTCTTGCACATAGTAGAATAATGTAATTTACGTGTAAACCATTTATTTAATATTTGTGTATTTGGTAAATTTCGATTGCCAAGAACTGGCTCATCGTCGATTTGATTACTTGTTGGTTTCCAAAACCTTAACCCACTTCTATTTCATTTTCTTTGGAAATAAAACTGTCCTGGAGTTAGATTCTACTTCAACCATCTTCCATGTTAACCCATGGAGTATTGTATGAAAATCTAATTATTCAGTATACCTAATTATAACCTATTATTCATTAATTATATTAATATAGATAATCAATTAATATTTTGGAATATTTTTCTTCCATACTTTTTATTAAAATGTCTTTTAAGGGAGCTTATAGCTACCACATTTTAATTTATAAGGTTTTAAATATTTTTAAAATTTTAACCTAAATACCAGTAGCAGCTTTGAATAAATTTTAAAAATTCGTAAAACCTTAAAAATTAAAATATGACAAAGTAAGATTTGTAAAAAGAATTTTTAATAATAAAATGATGTTAATTAAAAAATATTAATTAGAGACTTAATAAATAGGGAACTTGTAGTTCGATAATTTTTCATGGTTTAACAAGGGAGATGACTCCAGAACATCTTTAAGACCTTTTATTTTTAATGTCGCAGCTATGATTAATTTTTTGCATGTGTTTCAAACATAGATTTATTTTTTATTTATGCAATTACACATAATTTTGTTTTCCAGTTAAGCGATAGTAATGAATTTGACCCCTGTGATCCCATCTCCCTGGTACTAACATGGGAGAGATATATTGCCACAGGTGCACTAAGTTACTTACTAACACAGGAGTAACTAAGTGTCAATTGAAGATTTGATATAGAATAGGCAAAAACGAATCATTCAATTCGATTCGAGTCAGTTCACTGAAGTGATTTGTATCACTGATTTGCATCCTACGTCATATACTATAACAGCGGTGTATCTAAGAGCTAATTTAAAGTTTGAAGAAGAATAGGATAAAATGAATTCTCAACATGATTCAAATAACTTTAGTCACATACTATAGCACTGGTGCATCTTAGTCGAGGTTGAGCTAGTTTGGTCTATTATCACAGTGGTTCCCTATTGAGGGTAAAATTTGGTCAAAAGAATCACCATCGTTGATTCAAATCAATCGAATCAGTTCACTGAAGTGATTTGGACTATTGATTCGAATCATATCTAAGAATCTTAATCAGAATCGAACCACTATTGTCAGTTGGGCAAATCGAGTCTTCAACGAGATTCGAATCAATTGAATTAGTTTACTGAAAATTTTCTGAAGTACCTGATTCAAATGAATCGCTTCAGATTAGTTGATTCGAATTGCATTAACACATTTTTTATATTTTCGCAGCATTATTTCATAAATAAACATAAATTAATATTGTTCATCGATTAATATTGTCCTTCACTCACTAAAAAACTAGTATTCGAATTTGAATTTCTATTTGGCTGTTGAGTCTGAGAATTCTACAGTTTTTAGAAAGTTTTCAGTTTTATATTACATATCTATCGATTAGAAATAAATGTATGAGAAATAAATGATTAGAAATAAATATATTTTTAAACTGAAAGCAATTAAAAATGATTGTAATTTAAAAATTTCATCTTTAAAAAAAAAGTGTTTGGAACTAAGTAATCCGAATCAAGTGATTTGAATTTACCATCATATCCATTGATTCAAAGATTGGATTTCCGACTAAATGCAGTGACTCGAAAGAATATTTGGAAAAATCGAATCAGTGCCAAACTCTATAGTTTAATAGGAAAAGTCATTCTTCATTTCATCGTCAAACAAAGTGCTTTACTTTCGTCTTAAGAGCAAGTAATTATTTTAATTTATCTAGTTGGGAAAATTTTAATTCTATGTAATATACAGAACAGCTTATCTATTATACAGTTTTAAAACTTCTCTTGAATAAAAATCACACATTGTCCCAAGATTTTTTTCACTTCCCTACCATAATTATTATATTATATTATTTCTGTTGAGTTTTCAAAAATGCGACTAATGGCCCTTTGGATAGTCTATATTTGGATAAGGTAGCGATTTTAAAAATATTCGTTATATTTACCGTATTGTAAGAAAATGAAACTTTATAAAGGTAAGGAAGTTTTATTCACTTTTTACTCTGTTGCTAACATAATTGTTTTAAATTTATTGTTATTTTCATTTGATTTTTTTAATGGTAAGATCAAATTACGTTTCTCAGTTTTATGTGTATAATTGAACCTGTCCAAGTAAATTGAATTGCAGTTTCTTTTATTCCCCTCTGTTACTCACCCATTCTGCTACATGTTCATTGAAGCGTTATTTATTGACTTTTAATTTAATATTTCCTCAAATATTGAGTTTATATTAAAAGAATTATAGGTAAGTATGATATTCGTGTCCCTGAAGTTCAGTAATTTGCAATTCAAGAACATTTAAAATTTAGCTCTACAGCCAGCCTTCCCCTTCTGTAACCTATTTCCTCTTAGTTACCTAAAATTCATTAATCCTCATTTTCCTATATAATTTAAGGAAAAGCCCAGTATAATTTAGCGTTTTCGTGATTTACACTGTAAATTTAACTAGAGTGTAAACTGTTTACTGTGTTTCCAGTAACTTTTTTAATATTTAAATTCTTTTGAACTTTGGTAACTGAGAAGAACACGATGCAGATTCAAATAATTCTTTATATTCTTTTTTCTCAATCCATCTTGAAAATGGCCCAATTAAGTCAAAAGTTATTCTGTGCGATTAAACATAAAATTTCCTTCTTCTGATAAGATCTGATATTTCTTTAAATTAATGCTGATTGTATTCTCTATTTTCGTAAATTTGCTTCTGAACAAAAGCCTGATGCGCGACTTGATGATTCATATACTGGTATCGAAATAATCAAAGTTTTATTAACGCAAAGTTTTATTAACGTCACAACAGGTCGAATATCTCACGCATTTGTGTATCTGTAATCGAAAAATATGATTAAGGATATCGTTATTCTTTCCGTTAGATAAATTCTTTAATGCATTTAAAAATGACAGGAAAGAAAAGCCCATCAGTTGAAATGAAGGAAAATAATGTATTCCTTATTTTTAATAATGTATTATTATTTTTTTTATAACCGTCGTTGAACAGCAGATCCAATTTTTGGGTTTACGACTACTGATGTTCAACTCCGTAGCCTTGTAATTTTGAACCCAATTTAGAAGACAAGGGAACTCCTGGCTCAAGAAATTTGACTTCGTGGAGGACTTTTTGATGGAAGTAACCCGCATTTGCGTTACATGGAGAGGAAGACCACGAGAACCTCCCACGGTTAGCCCGACGACAAGAGGACGCTAACCCATGATCCGTCTACTAGTGAGGATATTTCACGTCAGCACTGTGGTCGGTGCAAACCGATTGCGGCAATCGTATCGACCAGCCATCGCTGGGATCGAGCCCCGGTTCACCTCATTGGAAGGCGAACGCCCCTGAGCCATCGCGGCTCATGTATTTTTACTGTATAATTATTTTCGAAGCACAAATTAGCTTCATATTTTCAACAACTTTTAAAACTATATGGCTATATGAACGGCATGATTTCTATAAGAAGTCCGTTACAGCATAGAAGGGGTCCAATTTTTGAACGGGATGAAATTGCAACAATATACAGACACAATAAGTCCGGTAGCAGATGAAATTTTTATGAGTAGTAATTCGAATGTTTAATTTTTTAAGAAAATTTTCTTTAAATGCCTCACCATTTTGAAAACTAACCCAATTATGTCTAAAGTTTAGTCAATCTGATTAAACATAAAATTTTCTCCGCCTGTTATTTATTTCAATTCGCATGATTTTATGCATTCTCTGTTTTCGTCCACTCTGCTTCTGAACAAACGCTTGATACACGATTTGATGATTCATTCACTGGTATCGAAATAAACATCGGCAAGTTTTAGTAGCATCGTTATAGGCCAAAAAATATGATTCATATATCGAAAAACATGATTCAAGGAATCGTTTTTCTTTCATTGAGATATATTCTTTAATGCATTTGAAAATACTAGAAAAATACTTTTCTACTTCGAAAAATAAAAGAAGATTATGGTTAAATAAAATATTAACATCCTGTTTATTTTAGCTAGAGCTTGTTTCTGTTTCATTAGAAAGTTTGAGTTGATGAGTTATATTTTTCTAATCTACAATAAAACTAACGTAAACAATCAAGAAGTGAATAATATTTGTTATATAATTAATATTGCAGTAATTCTATATGCAGGCATTTTTTTTTAAAAAAAGCTTCCTAATACATTATATACTATTTTTAAACTTTCATGAATTAAGTTTATGTTTATTACTTAAAATGGTAGGTTATTAATAGTTCTCCTCTAGATGAAAATTTTGTAGAATGCTATTCGTATACTGAGAAAAAGTATATCAAAATTACCAGGATATGGTAAAATTTACCGTGTTTCCAGCTCTATAGGAACATCAAAAACCTCAATAACTTTTACCAAACAGCTTTGGTAATGATTTTGGTAAAATTATCTATAAAATATGGTTTTATAATATGTGATAAAATTTTGTAACTGTGGTAAAATTTGGTAATTTTATCATAATGCCCTTAGAGCAGGGTATAAAACTATTTATTCTGTTAAATTTGCTTTTGAGAGAAAAAAATTCCAGTGAAATTACCATATTAAAAGTAATATTTTTGATTAAAAAAATGAACAAACCTAATTCTGTTTAATAAAACTAAAATATACGGTATTTAAACTATTCATTTGGAAATGTTTCCAGTTATTTGGAAATTTTTTCGCTCATATAGTAAGGGTTTACCCTAAATTCCGGTTTTCAAAATTATAGTTCCTATAACCACACATT